AAAATAAATGGCTTTTACTTATATTTCTTAATAGTATAAATATATACTATGTTGTTGTTGGGCTTAGGATTCTTCTACAGTAGGTGTTTGTGATTTGTTAACGATAAATTCAACGATGAATAAACAGCACACATTTTACTTGTTTTCAAATATTATATATGTATTCAGAGCAATTTAAACATGTGTACAACAAAGTCTTCACACTATAGAGATTACAGGCATATCATAAACACTATTTATATATATAGTTCTCTTCTTCTTGTCAAAAGTCCACTTAGGCCGATTCAGTTACTTTAGAATTTCAGTTGACAAGTTGAACTATCTTCTCTATATTACTATCGTACTAGTATTCTTTGTGTGATTCATTTACAGTTGTGGTGCAAGTTACTGTAATTTGTTTGGTCTTCTTTCTTGTGAAGATCATCTGTTCCATTTGTTAAAGTGTACCAAGGCTGATTGAATTACTTTATAACCATACTTTGACCGAATAAAATTATCCTTTTTATCTTTTTTATACTGTTAGTTTCATTCTAACATATTAAACGTTAGATCTATCACCTTTGCAGTACTTAACTTCACACATCTACATTCTCTTTTGCTATTATCTGTCTATTGTTGTCTGTCTTCTGCTTCCCGCTCATCTCATCTTTATTACATAGTTGTCTGGCCACTTTCCATATTCTCGACTCCAATTAGTTATTAACAAAACCTTCTACAATCGTCTGCTTTTAACTCTTATTATAACAAAACTTAAAAAATAATAAAATATTCACTCATAAATATAAATTAATCACTTATATTTAAACCAAACAGTCTTTTATATCATGACACTGTTTCTGGTAATTATTTAAATTTTTTTGTGTTAATGTGCCAGATTAAATAGTGAGACAAATAACTTATATGTGATATTACATAAAAACTGAAGTCAAAAATGACTTTCACCAGAAAAATTGACCAAACTTGTATAGAGTTAGGGTAGAGAAAATGGAAAGTTTTATTGAAAAAACATTTGGAAAAATTTTTGTGAAAATACCTCATTAAAATTTTGATTTTTTGTTTATAAATGACTCTTAATTACTGAAAGCTTGCAAAAATTTTGTGAAGATACACGAAACATATTAGAAGTTATAGTATGGAAACTATAAAGGTAAGTTTGGAATCACAAGACTGAGTTGATAGTGAGAGAGTTAACATGACTTAAAAATTATCATTTAATGAATGAAAAAAAAAACATAAGTGATAAAACGTGAAAGAATAAATTACTCACCTGAATTTGGTGAAAATTTTGGAAAACAAAATGGATGCTGCTGCCTGTCATTTAAAGTTGAAGTTTTACAAGTCACACTCAAGCTTGTATCAAGCATTGCACAAAAAACAAATAGGTATCATCCATGTAAAAACTTGATCGGTGAAAAGGAGTTCAATTTCATAGTGCGATAGCTTTTTGGAAAAATTTTAACTTGTGTTGTCAGGCAAGTAACCTGGCAATTCTGCATACCCAGGACAGTCATTAAGGCCAAGTTTATATATAAAAATTAAATATGAAATTGAGTGTCATATATATAATTTTTTTAAGTATAGTTTAAGATTTTATCATAAATGATCCCATTTTTTTGTAATTGGTTTACTCATATATCTTGTGGTATTTAATTTAATAATAATAGAAATACTTCATTTTAAGCCACAATTTATTATTGCAAGATATCTGTTTTTTTTCAATAACAAGTAATCATGATTTAAATGGTGTATTACTTTTATTAAAAATATAGTTTCATATTTATTGAATAGTTATAATCAATTTATGTAACTGTTTAAAATTTAACTTATTTTACAAGCCAGAAAAATATGCTCTGTTTCTTATAGAATCTACATAAACAGATGAGAATGAAAAAAATCTTTATATAGGTGTTTCTTTAAATGTTTTTTGTTTGTTTTAGAGACACATTTCAATCAATGTGGTTTATTGGACTTCAGTTTGCTAAAACAGAAAATCTTAATGTGGATCTCACTTTTGACATTCAGTCATTTACTGACACAGGTTTGATTTTTTTAATTGCTCCTTATGCATTCTTTCTGCATGTAAATCAGAAAGAATGATTAACAAGAGAACCTTAACTGTGCAGTTGTCCAGTTCATTGAAAGATTTATAAAATCTTAAGATCATTCCAAAATTAAAGTAAAGAAAAATTGTATCTCTGATGTTTCTATTTAATCATATGTTCCTGATAATTTAATAAAGTATAACTTTAATGGTGTTTTTAAAATAAATGTTGGACAAATATGAATGCTTCATTATAATGCTCTAAATCTTTGTGTTGCACTAAAAGTTTTTCATCAGATTTGTTGTTACAAATGGTTTTGCAGTAGCAACATATACATTTTTAGAACTACAAAACAAACATTAATTAAAACCAGTAAATAAACTTTTGTGTATGTGGTTGGTTTCTAGTAATTATTTAAAATATCCTATATTTACGTGCGAGATTAAATAGTGGGATGGATAAATTATATGTGGTGTTACATACAATCTGAAGTAAAAAATGACTTTCACCAGAAAATTATTAACTTTATCAATGTGTTAATATATGTCTTCTTCGTAGAAGAGTGTTCTGATTAAATGCATAAAACATGTTTTATAAAACAAGCTGTGTTACTGTAAAAGGTACTCTAATCAGAAAAAGGTGAAAACTGGAACATCTGTAAAATAAGGATTTCTTAATAGTAAGTATGTTACTTTAAAATGCTCTATCCAGAAAAACGTGTAACCTGAGACATTGTTTAAAAAAAATGCTAATATTAGGTGCGTAACTGTAAGATTATCTGTCATTGTCCTTGTAGAATAAATATCTAGTTTGTTAAACAACTGAATGACAAAAATGTCTACTACATCTATTTTTAGTCATGCGTCAAGCCATGCAGATAAACCTGTACAAGCCAGGTATGAAGATTGAAGCAAAACACGTAAGACGGTAAATAATTTGTGTGTTGATTATTAGTTATCTCGAAGATTTTTAGTTGTATAGCTTCAGTACTTGTGAAAAGTTATTATTATGTGTGCATGAATTTTGGGAATGTACTGGTTGAAGTTACCATTTCTCACCATTATGTAAGAAATACAAAAATATTTATAAGAAAATGTACAGGCTAAGAGTAAAAACTAATGCTAATTAATATCTTATTTAAAGGTTAGATGATGCCATGTTAACACTAGCAAACTGTATATTTGTTTTTTATCATATTTTTTAGCTTTTTCTACTTTAACTTTTAAGTGTGTCGTACCTTTTTTACAGCATTACATTTAAGATTTAATTAAACTATCTTTATTATCATAGTATGTCAGTAAACTTAGCATCACAATGTAGTTTATAATTCAAATGTTAATATTTATACAAGTTTTAATTTCAAAAGGAAATATTGAAATAAATTTTTAGTCTTCACTTTTATTTAGAATTTCTCTGCACTGCTGTATTATATTCTTAGTTTCTAAAGCCTTGCATACTTATACATAAGATATCCCCAAGCTAAAATGAAAGTTTACGGCCGTTACTTGCTTTAATGAGTCTGTGCCATAAACTAGAACTTGCATGCTATGCCTTTCCTAGTACATGCTGTCTTTAAAAAAAAATGTCAGTAATTCTCTCTGACATTTGCTATTGGATTATTTATAACCAATAGAAAGAGAATATTCTGTTTTACTACTTTTTTTATAAGGATAGCTTGTTCTCACAATTGATTTAGAGTTATTCTGAATCAGTTGTTTGCTATCGCCAAGATTGCCTTGGCCAGGTAAGGATATTACCTTGATGCACATATAGAAAGCCATTTAAATTAGAATAATATTAGGATGTTGTTTGTTATTGCTCGTTAATATTTTGTGTTGGAAATTGCATATTTAGAGTGAATAAAACTTAAGTAAAGTACTAAAAACAACCTTACAGAAAACATCTACATGTTTTATTTATCTTATTATGATGGATGTAACATGTATGCCGGTATCTACGTGTGCAACCAGAACTTCTTCATCATCTATTGAATGGCACCACAAACAAAAATCCATAAAAAAATTCACATTTTGAGTATTCAAAATTCAGACAATTAGAAAAATAACTGTGGTATGTGTAACAAACATTTTTTTATAATAGAACACAATTTTAAATAAAAGTACTCTGCTCACAACAAGAACGGAACTTTCACTAGGACTGTATGTGAGGGTTTTATTATATCTTTATTGATGTAATTTATAAATGTAGTAATGAGAAACTGGGGTTTTTAAAACATCATAGTTTATATCAGTAAAATTTATGACAACTTTGAGCTCTGTACATTGAATCATTTTGGTGCAATGAGTTGCATATGACTAAAGAGCACAATCCAAACACTTTTCTCATACAGTACTTGCCAGAAAAAAAAAAATCCTTTTTTAGAAAATGTTTATCTTTCTAAATTTTTTTTTCAATGAGGTAATAATACTACGATTAGTAATTACTAGCACAAACAGCTAGTCGTGGGGCAGTGTTTTTGCTAGTTGTTATAAAATAACTAAAATGTCAAATTAGTAATGTATTAGGTTAGATAAGAAAAATTAAGTAAAAAAGAATACCCTAACACAAGCAAATCTTGTGAGGACAGAATGTAATTTTTACCAAACATGCTGGTAACTCAATGCTTTGTATACACACAGCTTCCCTGCTGTGATAATTTGTTATGGAACTAATTTAAGTGCCAATAAAGCAATAAATCTAAATGTGTGGGAGATTTGAATTGTATTAACTTTGGCTGCAAGAATAGAAAGTGTGTAGTTGTCTGTAACGATGTGCAGTCTTTTTAGACAGAAAATATAATTTATATTTATTTCATAATTTTTTGTGGTGGTTACAAGATTGGTCAAATAGAACAAACTACTATACAGTGTTATGGTAGAGTTAATAACAGAAAAGATGCAAAGTTGTACTGAAATTACTTTTGATGTTCTTTTAGGAGGTTCTAGAGATTAAGCAAGTGAAATTTGAAAAACTAAAAAAAAAAAAAGTATCTTTAGTCTTCGCCTTAAAATCACCTTGCACTCAGTCTTGAGTTCTACTCTGACTCCTTAATTTCACAGACAAGTTTTTTGTGTACAAGAGACTTGTAATGTTTACTAAAAATGTGCTAAATGTCTTAAAGATACACTTACAACATTAAAAGTGATAGTATGTATAGTTACATGGTGGTTGCATGACTGGTGAAAATGACCAAGCCCATATACAGAAGATTCAAGATGTTATAGAAAAAGGTTTTAATAAGGGAAAATTGAAACATTTATTAATCTCACAAGTTGGCTATTAGTTTTCTTATGAAGGTTTATTCTCAGTTTATTTGCATGATAAAGAAATAACTAATTTTCTGTATAAATCAGTGGAAAAATAAGCAAATTCTCAATATGAATCACTGGAAAAAATAAGTTAATTCTCAATATAAATCAGTGGAAGAGAAGCTAATTTTCAATATAAATCAGTGGAAGAATTAAGCTAATTCTTGGTGTAAATCTAAGAAAGAAATAAGCTAATTCTCGATATATAACAGTGGAAGAAATAAACTGACTAATTCTCAGTGTAAATCAAAAGAAATGAACTAAAACTGGATACAAATCACCTTATTTTTAGGAGGGAATTGAACAAGTATTTGCCTCCAAGTGTTACTGCAAAGCTGAAGAAAAAGGACAAAATGGTAATGTATTTTTAATTAGCCTAAATAGTGAAATTCTAATTCCAAACATTTTAAAAATTAGTTGAATTCAGTTGTGATCAAAAATCTTTTAAGAAACTTTATTTCCAGCTATAGTGAAATACGAACTATATTTTCACTAAGATTTAAGGTAGGTACCACTCCCAGCATTTGTAAAAATATGATCTACTGTATGCAGTGCTTGTGTTTGTTATGTTTGTTTCGCTATGTGTGATGATGTATTTACTATGTGACAATAGAAAAAATTAGCAAGAACATCTTAGGTTTCCATTCTGGACATTGAGTTACACTTGCCCAGTATATTATGTACACCTTGAAAAAAGAACAAGTAGCCTATAGAAATTACAAAGGAATGTATTGTAAAGTTCATAGTTCAATAAGAGCATAGAAATATATGGTTTAGAATTTGACAGTGGAGTGAAAAGTTAATGTGATCTGACAATTACATTATTGAAATTGGTATAAACTAGATTGTGTTGGATATTTTAGTATGACGTTTTCTAATTGAAGCTATTTAAAGTAGAAATGTTGTAAAAGTAGTTAATATGATTTTAAATTTGCATATGTTAATGCAGGTATATTTGACAGTTCTGTTCAGTCACACAGGTATACATTTCCCTGGTATTTCAGAACCTTTTGATTTTTGTACTTTTACTATAACACTACAGCAGACAGCATCTTCTGGACTGATCTACTCCCATCTTGAGTGTTATTACCTGTTTTCACTTTTATCTGGTGTCTATTACTCATGTTTTTTTATGACTTATTGATAGCTTGAATACTCTTAAATTCATTAAAGTATAAGCATGAGCAACAGTAACAGAATAATCATTTTTATGTAGCACGTTTGTTATAGGGTTCTATTTCATTAACATAATATTCAAGTATATTTTTGGTTTCTAATAACCAGTTCAGAAGCATAGGAAAATAATTTCTAATTTTCATATTAGTAAAATATGTAACAAACATTTACTGTTGAAATGAACAATGATATGGAACATTGACTAACAGCATGGCGTGGATTTTGGTAAGTTTTACAACATGAAATGTTTGATTGTTTTCATATTTGTTATGATCTTAACAATAATAATACGTAAGGTGTACAGAAAGTACGTTAACCAATTTTTTTATTATATATAAACAATTCATTTGCATAATGTTTGGACATTTCCAATTTCTACTCAAAACTAAAAATTCTTTGGACATTTATTGATGAAACAGTTAATGCATACTAATACATTATTAGTACTGAAAAAACGGAATAAATTTATTTCATGTTATAAAAAGTTAAAATCTTTGGTTTCAGTCCTCCACGACAGCACAGAACAGTCTCAACAGCACACCAATACCAGAGTCTCGTGGAGATGCTAAGAAAACACTGCACCAAAGTCGATCAGATTCATCTCTTACTCAAGCAGTAGATGGCAAGCCAACCATTGGAAAACACAACAGATTAAGCTTAGATGTATGCTTTATTTTATATTATACTAACCAGTTATTCTTTAATAACATTTTCTGAAATGTATGTTGACCAGATTTCAAATAACATTCATAACTAAAGATGTTTAACAAACTATCAGAATCAGTGTTAGAAAACCTGAAATGATTAATACTGATAGAAATAATGCTAGTAAATCTAGTGATTACGCTGATTACAACTTGCCAGGAAATGAAAAGCTTAGGATTCACTCTGTGATTTGATTATGTATGTTATCCTTTTATCTTTATATGTCTTCAGGATTGTAGAGTTGTGTAATCCAAAAGGATGTTTGAATGTATAAAAATTCATGAAACGGTATTGTACGTTGATATCGTTTCTTGGTATTCATTTGCTTTTATTGTACTGTTATATAGGTAATTGCTTTAATTTTATATATTTTCAAATTGCCACAGAAGCATTCTTTCAACAATATTTTTCACATATTGCTCCAGACAAGCTCATTATTGTTATTTCTGACTTAAACATATCTTTTCTGTCATTGATCTTATTAACTCCTGAAGAATTAAAATGTACATTCAATTTAGAAAAAAAAAAAACAGCATGGTAATATCATGGTTTTACGTAAACCTATTTTGTATTAAATACTATTCAATTTGATTTGATTTTTTCCATCCTTTGCATGGGAATGTCATGTGTAATCAAAAGATGCAAATAATAATTAATCTGTAGGATCATTGATCAACTAATATGAAGAAAACTCCTCCATTACACTAATTTTAAAGTACAGTTCTGTGGGTATTTTGGATGATTCATATTAAACTAATAGTGTAATAATATAGGAAGCTGTATTTTTTGTTTCAGGTAGTTACACCTGATTCTATCAATTCTTCTTTATCTTTGGGACACAAGAGACGTCGAGAACCTTCAGAACTAGATGCTGAGATAAAAAGGTTTCATTCTGCAAATTCGGACTCTACTACCAGTCTAGATGTTGGAAACAGTTCAAAAGATGCTTGGGTTCCATTTCTGGAAAAATCTGCTGGGGAATCTGAAGACAGCACTAATGATTCACAGGTTAAATTAATTTTGATGTCTGAGATAAAAGTTTCACTTTACTAACGTTATGTAAAATTTTGTCATGTTTTTCACATTATGCGAGAAATAATGAGTAAGTAGCTGCTCCCTTTTATTAGCTTAATCTAGCAGAATTCTTGTTAATACAGTTTTTCACATGTATATATTGAGACAGAATTAGTTATGTATTTTAAAGTTTAAACATCCAGTTCCTGGTCAACAGCATGCCCTAAATACAAGATAATTGACTCAGAAACTATCTTGATGCTCTAGAACAGTGGAATGGAAATAAAGTCAACAACTGGAAGTGACGTCAGTGCTATGAGGGAGAAGTTTGTGTTGGAGTTGGATGATTCAAGTCTGGATTCTTCTAGCATGAATGCTGATTTAAGTGAGGTTAGTGTAGTTGTTTAATCATGATTGCTTATAAATGTATTTGTTTTTCTTATCTGAAGTTATGACTATTTAACTGATTATTGATTTTCCAGTAAATTGTAACAGATACATTAGAATACCTTGAGATTGGTTTCAAAATAAAATATTTTAATCGGATTACCAGATACTAATACAAATGATGGAAGTCAGTCTTCAACAAGCTGTTGTTGGATGTAGCCCTCTGTCAGATATTTGTAACTACTTTTTATTTCTTCAGCTGTCATATTTATGGATAGTCATTATTATGTAATTTTTTGAAACAGCCAGACACTAAATCAAGACTTTTTTTTTTATCGGGAAACATTACTGTCATAGCATTTTTTTGTTTATTTAGCAATAGTGTTCCAAAAGTTCAAGAAATAATTGTTAATCCTAAATGCTAGTATATCCAAATACCTACTTTCATTGCAGACAAACTCTACAAACTTATGTTACTAAAATTATTCTCGATAGTTATTTGTATTACTAAATTCTCTAACCACTAATCTAGTAGACAATCTTTAAAATCTACAGTATACAGCTACTATCATTACCAATTTCTCTTACCATTACTCTAGCAGACAAACATTAAAAACTACAGTATACAGTTACTATCATTACCAATTTCTCTTACCATTAGTCTAGCAGACAAACATTAAAAACTACAGTATACAGCTAATATTATAACCAAACTCTCTTACCATTAGTCTAGCAGACAAACATTAAAAACTACAGTATACACCTACTGTCATAACCAAACTCTCTTACAATTAGTCTAGCAGACAAACATTAAAAACTACAGTATACAGTTACTATCATAATCAAACTCTCTTACCATTACTCTAGCAGACAAACATTAAAATCTACAGTATACAGCTACTATCATAACCAATTTTTCTTACCATTATTCTAGCAGACAAACATTAAAAACTACAGTATACAGCTACTATCATAACCAAACTCTCTTACCATTAGTCTAGCAGACAAACATTGAAAACTACAGTATACAGCTACTGTCATAACCAAACTCTCTTACCATTACTCTAGTGGACAAACATTAAAAATTGCAGTATACAGCTACTGTCATAACCAAACTCTCTAACCATTAGTCTAGCAGACAAACATTAAAAACTACAGTATACAGCTACTATCATAACCAAACTCTCTTACCATTAGTCTAGCAGACAAACATTAAAAACTACAGTATACAGCTACTGTCATAACCAAACTCTCTTACCATTACTCTAGTAGACAAACATTAAAAACTACAGTATACAGCTACTATCATTACCAATTGCTCTTACCATTAGTCTAGCAGACAAACATTAAAAACTACACTATACAGCTACTGTCATAACCAAACTCTCTTACCATTACTTTAGCAGTCAAACATTAAAAACTACATTATACAGCTACTGTAATAAGCAAACTCTCTTACCATTAGTCTAGCAGACAAACATTAAAAACTACAGTATACAGCTACTCTAGAGTAATGGTAAGAGTTTGGTTATGATAAACATTAAAAAATACAGTATACAGTTACTATCATAACCAAACTCTCTTACCATTACTCTAGCAGACAAACATTAAAAACTACAATATACAGCTACTATCACAACCAAACTCGCTTACCATTAGTCTAGCAGACAAACATTAAAAACTACAGTATACAGCTACTATCATAACCAAACTCTCTTACCATTACTCTAGCAGACAAACATTAAAAACTATAGTATACAGCCACTGTCATAACCAAACTCTCTTACCATTACTCTAGCAGACAAACATTAAAACTACAGTATACAGCTACTATCATAACCAATTTCTCTTACCATTATTCTGGCAGACAAACATTAAAAAGTACAGTATACAGCTACTATCATAACCAAACTCTCTTACCATTAGTCTAGCAGACAAACATTGAAAACCACAGGGTACTATCATAACCAAACTCTCTTACCATTAGTCTAGCGGACAAACATTAAGAACTACAGTATACAGCTACTGTCATAACCAAACTCTCTTAAGAGAGTTTGGTTATGATAGTAGCTGTATTAGACTAATGGGCAGACAAACATTAATATACTGTAGTTTCAGCTACTGTCATAACCACTCTCATACTATTAGTCTAGCAGACAAACATTTCTTACCATTAGTCTAGCAGACAAACATTGAAAACTACAGTATACAGCTATTGTCATAACCAAACTCTCTTACCATTACTCTAGCAGACAAACATTAAAAATTGCTATACAGCTACTGTCATAACCAAACTCTTACCATTACTCTAGCAAACATTAAAAAATACAGTATACAGTTACTATCATAACCAAACTCTCTTACCATTAAAAGTATACAGCTACTATCATAACCAAATTCTCTTACCATTAGTCTAGCAGACAAAATTTAGATACAAAGTGGACAGCTATTGTCATTACTAAATTCTCTTACCACTCCTCTAGCAGGTACACTTTAGAAACTACAATGATTCAAGTTATTCTGGATGACTACTTTTATTACCAAATTCTCTAATGTTGAATCATAGAAGACAAACTAGAAATAACAGTGGTCAAAGTTATTCTTGACAGCTACTGTCATTTTAGATTCTCTTAACACTATAGTCTAGTAAACAGACTAGAAACTATAATGGACATTACTATTATTACCAAATTCTCTCTTCCACAACTCTAGCAGACAAACTTTAGAAACAACAATGAACAGCTTTTGTCATTACTAAATTCTCTTACCATTCATTTGTCTAGAAGACAAAGTTTAGAAACTGCAGTGATTATCATAAACTGCTAATTTCATTGACAAGTCTTCATATAATTTGTCTAGAAGACAAATGTTAGAACCTGTAATGATTAAAGTTATTCTGGATCACTACTTTTATTACCAAATTCTCTTACCTTGAACCTAGACAAACTAGAAATAACAGTGTTTAAAGTTATTCTGGAAAGAACTGCAGTGGACAGTTACTATCAGTATGAAATTCTCTTACTACTAGTCTAGCAACCAAACTTTAGTGACAACAGTGGGCAGCAGCTATTATTACCTAATTCTTTTACTGGTAGTCGAGCAGACAAACTTTATAAACTACGTTGGACGATTACTTACATTACTAAATTCTCTTACACTAGCTTAGCAGCCAAACAACAGGGGGCAGTTACTGTTATTAGAAAATTTCTTACTGCTAGTCTAGCAGACATACTGCTGAAACAACAGTGGATAGGTTCTATCATTACCAAATACTCTTACTACTTGTCTAGCAGACAATCTTTTGGAACTGCAATGATTAAAATTATTCTGGTTGGCTACTTTTATTACCAACTTCTGTTACCTGGAATCTAGATGACAAACTAGAAATAACAGCATTTAAAGCTATTCTGGACACCTACTGTCATTACCAAATTTTCTTACTGTTAGTCTAGCAGACACACTTTAGAAACAACAGCAGACAGCTACTGCCATGACCAAATTCTTTTACCACTAATGTAGGAGACAAACTTCAAAAACTACAGCAGGTAGCTACTATCATTACCAAGTTCTCTTACCACTAGTGTAGTAGACAAACTTAATTAACTACAGTGGACAACTACTGTCATTACTAAATTCTCATATTATTAGTCTGACAGCCCAACTTAAGAAGCAACAGTGGGCAGCTAATACTATTACCAAATTCTGTTAATGCTAGTCCAGTAGACAAACTTTAGAATTAACATTGGAAAGCTACTATTATTATCAAATACTCCTACTGCTAGTCTAATAGACAAACCTTAGAAACTACAATGATTAAAGTTATTCTGGTTTACTATTTTTATTACCAAAATACTATAGTGGATATCTACTATTATAACCAAATTCTCTTACCACTATTCTAGCAGACAAACTGTAGAAACAACAGTGTACAGTTACTGTCATTACTAAATTCCTTTGCCAGTCATTAGTCTAGAAGATAAATGATATAAACTGGAATTAAAAAAATGTTCTTAGGCAGCTCCTTTCACTGCCAAGTCTTCATATCATTTGTTTAGAAGACAAATTTTAGAAACTATAATGATTAAAATTAGTATGGACAATTACTTTCATTGCAAAGTTATTTTAGCACTTCTCTAGCAGACATAGTTTAGAAACTGTAATGAATTAAAAGTAGTATGGA